TTACTGTGCCTTAACACAGTATAATTTAACACAGAATAATTATTTTTCCTTAACACTCCGTCCTCAGCTTAAAAACAGATCTAAAAAAAAAATCTTTGGAAAAGCAAGGCTTTGCCTTTTCCAGGTGAAACAAGGTTCCCTGAGTTGAAAGGAGGAGAGGAATTGGGCACTGGGGAGACAGCAAGAACCACTTAAAGGATGGCATATTCCTGAGAAGGGGTCCTGAGCCTTGTACCCTCCACCTCCTCCAGCTCAGGTGCAGAATGGACTTGATGTTTCAGGCTCCTCTTTGGTATTCATCAGGGTTTGGACATCACCTCTCCTTTGCCCCATGGGCAAAGCGTTTGGCTCACTCTCCAGATTGTGAAAATCTCCTGCAGCTACAGAAATCTCCACCAAGGCCACCCAGGAAGGAATCCTGGATCATTTACGACCCCAATCTACCTTCCTAGTCCACTCCTTCCCCATTGACGGATGTTTCTTGGTCTACCCCATAACTAGAGTTGTTCATTGCTACTTTCATCTTTGAACAAGTATTGTCTCTCTTAAAGCACTTCAGCTTTTCCTTATATTTTAGTTATATGTGTATCTATTTTTTCAGCCTTCAGTCACTCCACTTACAGATTTTACATCCCTGTTTCTAGTCCTTTGTTTCCATCTCTGCATTACCTAGAAAAATGTCTCGCATATGGTAGGCACACGACAAATATTCATTGAACTGAATTATTACCAGTTACCAAAATATTTACCATTGGTCTCAGATTTGTGTCATCTGCACACCCAGCGACATTCTTCAGTTTGATCTGAAGTTTTTGATAAATATTGGCTTTTTAACTCTATGGGCTGATATTCATAGAAAACAAATTAATTTCTATCAAAGCAAGAAAAAAGAACAAGACTCAAGAAACTATTGGACTTACCCAGATGGAGCTATTGGGAGACAGACAGAAAGAAGGGAGACCTGTTGGGAGGCCATTATAGACTATTTGGTCCCTGTATGAAAGCATTCTGGGAAGCTGTCATAGGGAAAAGTCACATGGATAACTGGTACATTTTGGTTTTCATTAGTGATGGTCAAATGAGGTAATGCACAGAGTGCTTGGTGCTGCGAAATGTTGGTTCCATCTCAAATTCCCTGAATCAACAGGCATGAAATACCTTTACAAGAAAGTTGAGCATATTAAGAAAAAAAAAGTTTTGTAAGTCAGGAGAAGCTGGGCTGGTCGGCCTCTCCCAGCTCCACAATAATGTTCTTCCAAGCTGCTTTCTCACAGTTCCTATCTCCACATGTTCTAGTGGAATCTAAACAGGGCAGAAGTTGGAGCAGAAGTATTAGTCTTCCTTACTTTAGCCTTCCACCTCTGCTCCCACTCCATCTCCCCCTGAAGACACGCCTAAGTCTTCCCCTGGCACCCTGCTGCTCTCTAACTTCTGAGGCAACAAAACTGAACAGGATCCCGGGACAAATATTGGCTGACTTGACTACGTACATGAGACATCAATGACTTTTAGTTAAAGGGTTACCTCAGCCCGGCATCTGCCTTCTATCTCTTGTTGTGGAATGAAAGGTTTTGAAAAGAATCTCAGGCATGTCAAGTGGAGAAGACTAAACGTTGGCATCAGACTGGCCCTCTAGGACTAAAATTGATTCTGAAGTTAAATCTAATTTGATATTTTGATTTCAGGGTGACCAACTGAGCACAGGTAGTCCTAGCCTTTGCCTCATCAGCCCTGGGTAGGCAATAATGGAATTGTCAGTTGTGTGGTTTGGAACAGAAAGCCATGAGTCTGCTCTATTTGAGACACTCCGTTCTTTCCACTTCCCATCTCCGCCCTTAACCCCAGCTCTTCCAGACATCCCACATCTTCTAGATATGTGTGGTGTATTTTTCTTCATAGTAGGGTTTCTGGTTTTGTGAGACACACCATTAAGTCCATATAGTACTTTACCACTGGTAGTATTTCTGACCACCGTGTGGTTGGTGCGTGCAGGATCTTCATTTCTAATAGTATTCCTCGTATGTCATATTCTCTAATTAGTGTGTGTCTTACCTTCTCAAGTGAGTTACAGTTCTTTTTGGGAAATGTCACATGACTGCTTCTGAATGTCTCCAACCCATAGCATTTAATATTACTAGACACATAGTAGGTACTCAATAATACTTATGGGTAGACACAGCACTTTGAGCCCCACTGAGTTTCAGGAAATACATATAATAAATAAATAAATAAATATATATATATATATATCTCATAGATACTTTCGTATACAGAAATACACAGAAAGTCATAGTTAGAAATATGCAGCTTCACTGACATAAGAGATATTCATAACAGGCAATATAGTATAGGCATTAGAGCATAGGTTCTGGACCCAAACTACATTGGTTCAAATCCCAGCTCTGCTCCTTAGCATTATAAGTTTGGGGGAATTTATTTTATCTCTCTATGCCTGTTTTCTTATCTGTAAAATGGGGTTAAATGTTGTCTCTTTCATAATGTGAGCATTAAATTAAAAAATGCACGTAATGTGAGGTACTTAAAAGAGTTTCTGGCACGTGGTTAAGTGTTCAGAAAATTTTAGCTATTATTATTGTATCCATTTACATCTTCATACCCTCTGATGCTCACATACATATACATCCCCTTTCAAACTCATTCGTTAATTTGACAAGCATTAGCTGAACACTCATTACATACTAGACACTATGCTGGGAACACAGAGCTGAACAATAGATTTCACAGTCTTGTGGGGAAGATTGCAGAGAAACAATGATTACGATATAGTGTGATAAGTGCTACAGTAGAGTTGAGCACAAGGGGCTTGTGAGCATGCAGGAGGGACAAGTTGTGGTGGCTCAGAGATGGGTTTCTAAGGAGAGGTATCCTTGAGCTGGGTCTTCAAGGTTTAGTAGAAGTTATCCAGGTGAACGAATCAGGAGAAACGGTGTTCCAGGTAGAAGACAGTATGTTCAAAGGCATGCAGATGGGAGAGTTGTTCAAAGAACTTAGGTAGTTACGTTTTGCACATAGGGGGAGGTGGCAGAGTAGTGACAGATGCTGCTGGACAGACAGATCTCTACTGCACCGTAAAGGCCCAGTGTGCAAGGGAAGGTGTGTAAAATCTACCCTATAATTGATAGGGAGCTGTTGAAATAATTAGGCAGAGGAGTGACATGATCAGATTTGGGTCTGAGGAAGATCCTGATAGCCCCAGTTTGGGTGATTAATTGGAAGGGGACAAAACTGGCAGAATAGCCCAAAGATAAATTAAGACCCCAAACTCAGGCAGTGACAAGGGAGATACAGAGGAGGGTATGAATTGGGGAAATGTTTCTGAGATAAATTCAACTGTGATTTAACAATCATTTGTATGTAATGTGGAGAAGGGGAGAATCGAGGAAGGGTGCAGAATGAAGGAATATACTCAGATTTCTGGCTTGGGTGGCTGGGAGTGGTAGTGTGACTTGCTAGGAGAAGTATTTTGGGTGGAAGGGGAGATAGTGAGAGTAGTTTTGTCATGTTGAGTTAGAAGTGCCTGTGGGAGATGGAGCACATGATTGCACAACAGAATTAGCCAAGGAGCTTGTTAAATGTAGATTCTCAGGTTCTACCCCTAGAAATTCTGATTCAGTGGACCAAAGGTGAGGCCTAAGGATCTGTATTTTTAAGAAATGCCCCAGGTGGTTCTGATGTAGCCGGTCCACAGTTGTATGGGAGATAAAACAAACAGAATAGGAAACATAGATTTAGGAGTCTCTGCAAATATGTGGTTGGAACCGAGATTATGAATGAGATCATAGGAGACAATGGGCAAAGTAAGAAGAGGAAAGGGCCAATGACAACTCTTGTATTTGCCCCAACTGTGATTTTCCTTTGCATTACCAAAAACAAGAGACCTGGGCAATTGAAGTGGAATGTGGGATTGTGATGCAACTGTTAACTACTCTTGGTGTCTGTAGTTTATTTCTCCTCCTCTGCCTTCTATTCTCCATGCTGCCCCAGAGATATCTTTCAAAAACAGTGATCTGATGGTGGTATTCCTCTGTTCCTAAACTTTAGATAATTCCTCCTTTTCTATAGAATGAGGTTCCGACTCCTTGGCATGGCATTCAAGGTCTTTTATAATCCTGTCTCAACTTGCATTTCCAGATCCAGCTGCTATTACCTCTACCACTAATTCCACATGCCAGCTACTGTGCCTTCGGCCTTTCCTGGACATGTCATAAACCCCTGCTCCTCTATGCTTCCACCTGCCTAGAAAGTCCTGCCTTAGCTCTGCTTCTCTGCCTGACTAACTCAGACTTAGCTTTACAGAGTTCATTCATACATGAGCACTCAGATTTCAGCAGCATTTGTACACATACCACTGTTTATTCTGGTAATCAGCATTAAATGTTGAATCGCAAGGAGAAAAGCAGAAAGATATTTTTCTTATAAGTAGAAGCTTTACCGTGTTTTAATGAAAACCCACTTCAATCTTCACGATCAAATTTATTCCCTTTCCTGTCTTTTCAGAGAGATCCTGTTTACAGGTCTAGGACAGCGTTTGCTCTTATCTTCATTGTTTTACAGTTAGTTATTAAAAAGTCTGCCTCCTCTATTAGATTTTTAATCCCTAGGCAAAAGACATACTGTTTTCTTCGTAGTTGAATGTTCCATAGCCTAGTGCTTCACACATGGTAGGTTTTCACTAAATGTTCGTTCCAAGCTTTCCATAGCTTGGAAATTTCATGTGTCCCTGTTCAATCTAATAATCAGCACTTAGCTGAATTTCAGTAAAGGAAGCAGAAAGGTCCCATTTTCCAATCTAAGATCATTTTAAATCATACACTGATTTAGTTTAACCTTGATCCCAATACTCGTTTAGCCAAGCAGTAGTCCTTGGAGGTCTTACAAAAAGAAGTAAATCAATGACATCCATTCAAAATGAATTACAGGTTATGCTTCAGGAAAGTTTCTTAAAAAGAAACAAAAACAAAAAACAGAGATAAGCTTACCGATTTAGGTTCTGAGTAGGTACCAAGTCCAATGATAGGAATGCTGTTTCCATCACTTAGAGGTATGCGGTGATTTTCAGCACTGAAGTACATCTTGGAGAGAGTCTGGGGTTTCAGATTTGTTGAAGAGACTCTGAATACCACGGGAAGAGTCTTTCTGAAAAGGAGACCCAGGGCCTATTTAATCATAGAGAGGAGGGCCGGAGGGAGGAGCAGTGGGAGAGAAGAGAGGTTAACGAGTCTGTTTCTCAATCTGTATTTTTTTCCAGATTGTTCTGGAAATCCTATCTGAGACTGTCCTTTGAACTTCATCTGGTCATATAAATTACATAACTCACTGAGAGCTTATGCTTACTTCTCTGCAAAGAAAAGACTGAAAAATCAAAAGAAAGAAATCTAGCTGGCTTCTATGAGTTAGGATGCTTTTCTTGGCAAGTAAACTATAAAGGAAATTTATTGGTTCATATTCCTGATAACTTCAACATCAGGGCTAGCTTAAGGTAAGACTAGAGCAGTTTCCCAGGACTTCCCTAGAGACTCTGATGCAGCAGGACTGGGAAGGGTCCTGGGATTTTTATCACCTAATTAAGTTGGAGAAATGCTGGACTAGAGAAACAAATGATATGGCCAGGAACGAGTTTCTCACTCTCCGGTTCATCTCTCCACCTCCTCGCTCTCTTAGCAGACTCTCCCCTTCTCATTGAAAGATGGTAACCGGTCCTTGGAGTGACAGGGTTCCATGTTCAAACCCAACAAAAAAGAGATTTGCTTACTCCATAGCTCACACAGTAATTCAGAAATGGAGTCTTTTGGGCCTTGATTGCTTTTCTTGGTTCATGGATCCATCACTAAATCGATTATGATGGTCAAAGGAAATGAAAGACTGATTGCCCTAAGATAATTAGAAGCTATTTCTAAGTTTGGAATTGAGGTTAATCTCACCTGGGAAGATTCTGGAGATTGTTAAGAAAAAAGAAAGAAGTAGCAGTTAGGGAAACAATGAACAAATGTTTATTAAAGTCTTCCTGCAAAGGACTGTACTGTCTATAAAATGAGAACTTTGGACCTGGTAACATCAAAGGTGACTGTCCACGATGGTGAAAGCGTCCTGAAGTTTGTCTGTATTGACTTGCCCTCTCTCCAGGACACTCATTCTTGCTTACATATGCATGGTCAGCCAGTAGACGCAAGAATTTCAACTAGGTTGGGGCAGTGTGGAACATGGGCAGTAGTGGTCTTCAACATCATTTGTAAATTGATCCGACAAACACTTAGTGTGCACCTTTGTGTGCTGAGATGTTGGCTAGTATATGTTTCCTTGTTTTTATTATTATTGATTTTTTTGGTATTCAACTCTATGAATTTTAGCACATGTACAGATCACAACTGGGATACTGAAACATACTATAACCCAGAGAACTCCTTCGTGCTATTTCTTTATATTCACACTATCCCCCACTCCCAGCCCCTGTTCTCCATTGCTGTAGTTTTGTCTTTTGAGAATATCATATGAATTGAATCATACAATATGTAGTCTTTTGAGATTGGCTTCTTTCACTCAGCAAAATGCCTTTGAGATTCATCCAGGTTGTTGCTTGTATCAACAGCTAATTTGTTTTTATTGCTGAGTAGTATTCCAGTATATTTATGTACCACAGTTTGTTTCTCTATTTGAAGGACATTTGGGTTGTTTGCAGTTTTTGGTGAATGTGAATAGAACTGCTGCAAACATTTGTGTACAGGTATTTTTAGTTTTCATTTTTCTTGGCTAAATAACCAGGAGTGGGATTGCCAGGTCATGTGGTAAGTGTGTTTAACTTTGTAGGAAGCTGCCAAACTGCTTTGCAGAATGGTTGTAACATTTTGCATTTCCACTAGCAATGCACCTGAGCTGCAGTTGTTCTGCATCCTTGACAGCCCTTGGTATTGTCAGTACTTTTTTTATTTTTAGTCATTCTGATAGACTTGTCATGGTATCGCATTTTTGTTTTAACCTGCATTTCCCATGTGGATAACAATGTTGCACACCTTATTATGTACTTATTTGCCATCTATATCTCCTCTTGGTGAAGTACTTGTTCAAATCTCTTTCCCTTTTTTTAACTGACTTGTCTTCTTAGTGTTGAGTTTTGAGATTTCTTGGTAAATTCTTGATATGTGTTCCTTACTGGATATGTGCTTTGCAAATATTTTTTTCTCAGTCTGAAGCTTGTCTTTTTATTCTGTTACCTGTGTTTTTTATGGAGCAAAAGATTGTGATTTTGATAATGCTGAATTTTTCAGTTTTCTTTGTATTGTGTTTTGAGTGTCATGTCAAAGAAGTTTTTCATCTGGCCCCAGGTCACAAAAGTTTTATTCTATGTTTTTTTCTAAAAGTTTTATAGTTTCATGTTTTCCATTTATCTGTCATCCATTTTAAGTAAATTTTTGTATAATCTAGCAGATTTAGCTAGAAGTGTTTGTTTTGTTTTACGTAAAGATATGCTATTGTTCCAATTCCATTTGTTGAAAAAACTATGCTTTCTCCACTGAATTTCATTGCACTATTGTTAAAAATCAGAGGCCATATTTGGGTAAGCCTATTTTGGACTTTCTATTTTGTTTCGTTGATCTGTGTATCCCTTCCTTTACTGATAGCACATTGTCTTAATTATTGCAGCTTTACAAGTCTTAAAATCAAATAGTGTAGTTCTTCCAACTTTATTCTTCTTTTCCAAAAGAGTTTTAGCTATTCTAGTTCCTTTACTTTCTACATAAATTTTGGAATCAGCTTGTCTGTGTCTTCAAAAATCCTGCTGGAATTTTTATTGGAATGGAGTTAAATCTATATATCAATTTGTTCTCTTTACTACATTGAGTCTTTGAATCCATGAGCAGAGTATTTCTCTCCATTTTTTTAGGTCTTCAGCATTTTGAAGTTTTCAGCATACACATCCTATATTTGTTTTGTTAGATTTCTACCTAAGTATAGGTAGAATATTCTTTTAGAGCTATTTTAAAAGGCATTTAAAAAATCCTGTTGCCAATCCTACATTGCTAATACATAGAAATAGGATTGATTTTTATGACTTCAATCATTTTGAATTTATTGAGACTTGATTTGTTGCCTGACATATTGTCTATCCTAGAGAATATTCCGTGTGCACTTGAGAAAAATATGTATTCTGCTGTTTTGGGTGGAGTGTTCTATAGATGTCTTTTAGATCTAGTTGGTTCATAGCATCATTCAGGTCCTCTATTTTTTTTTTTTTTTCACTGATTTTCCGTCTAGTTGTCTTATCCATTATTGAGAGTGGGGTATTGAAGTCTCCAACTGTTACTGTAAAACTATCTATTTCTCCTTTCAATTATGTCAGTGTTTGCTTCATATACTTTGTGGCTCTTTTATTAGGTGCATATATGCTTATAATTGGTATCTTGATATATTGACCCTTTTGTCAATGCATAATGTCTTTCTTTGTTTCTCATAACAATTATTATCTTAAAGTCCATGTTATCTGATATTAGTATAGCCACTCTAGGTCTCTTTGGGAATTTTCTTTTGGCATGGACTTTTTTTTCATCCTTTTACTTTCAATATATTTGTGTTTTTGGATCCAAAGTGAATCATTTTTAGACAGCATATATTTGGATCATTTAAAAAATCTTTTCTCCTAATCTCTGCCTTTTAAGTGGAGAGTTCAATCCATTTATGTTTCAAGTAGTTATTGATAACGAAGGATTTACTTCTGCAATTTTGCTACTTGTTTTCTATATGTCTTATTCCCTTTTTATTCATCAATCCCTCCACTACTGCCTTCTTCTGTGAGTGATTTTTTTCTAGTTTACTATTTTGATTCCCATCTGATTTCTTTTTCTGTGTACTTAAAAAATTTTTTCTTGGATGTCATAGTCGGCTTGGGCTGCTATAACAAAATACCATAGACTGGGTGGCTTAAACAACAGCCATTTATTTCTCACAGTTCTGGAGGCTGAGAAGTCCAAGATCAAGACACTGGCAATTCAGTTCCTGGTGAGAGCTCTCTTCCTGGCTTGCAGATGGCTGTCTTCTTGCTGTGTCCTCGCATGGTGGGGAAGAGAGAGGGAGAAAGGGAGAAAGAGAGACAGATACAGAGAGGAAGAGAGGGAGAGAGAAACAGAGAAAGAGAGAGGGAGAGAGAGGAAGCTCTCTGGTCTCTTCTTATAAGGGTACTAATCCCATCAGGAGGATCCCACCCTCATGACCTCATCTAAATCTAATTACCTCCTAAAGGCCCCACCTCCAAATACCATCATATTGGGAGTTAGGACTTCAACATGAATTTTGGGGAGACACAATTCAGTCCATAGTACTGGGATTACCCTGGGATTACAATTAGCATCTTAACTTTGTAACAATCAAGTTTGACGTAATACCACCTAATTTCAAAGTATATAAAACCTCTGATCCTTTAAAACTCCACCCCTCCCTCTTTTGTTTTGTTATTTTTACAAATTACATCTTTCTACATTTTGGGTCAGTTAACATAGATTTATAATTATTGTTTTATTAATTTGTCTTTTAAGTCATATAGGAGAAAAAAGAGCAGTTAAAAACCAAAAATGTAATACTACTGGTTTTTGTATTTATCTATGTAGCTACTTTTATCATTGTTACTTATTTCTTCATATGGTTTCAAATATCTTTTCCTTTCAGCCTGGAGGACTCCCCTTAGCATTTCTTGTAGGGCAAGTCTACTAGCAATCAGCTCCCTCTGTTTTTGTTTATCTGGGAATGTGCTAATTTCTTCTTTATTTTTAAAAGATAGTTTTGCCAGATATAGAATTATTGGTGGACTATTTATTTTCTTTTGGTCCTTTAAATATGTCACCCCACTGCCTTCTGGCTTCCATAATTTCTAAAGAAAAATTGGTTGTTAATCTCATAGGGTATCTCTTGTATGTGATGAATCATTTCTCTCTTGCTGCTTTCTAGATTCTCCCTTTGTCTTTGGGATTTTACAATTTGACTATAATGTGTCTTCTTGTGGATCTCTTTGGGTTTATGCTCCTTCGAGTTCATCGAGCTTCCTGGGTATTTAGATTCATGATTTTCATCTAATTTGGAATGTTTTCACCATTATTTCTTCAAATATTCTTTTTGTTTCTTTCTCTCCTCTCCTTCTGGGACTCCTATTATGTATATGTTG